AAAAAAACCGCCGCCGGGGGCGTGGCCCGCCTAGGCGCTGGCCTCGACCGGCGCGCCGCCGCCGCGGCCGAAGCCGCCGCCGCGGCCGAGCCGGCGCCGCCGCCGCGGCCGAAGCCGCGGCCGAAGCCGCCGCCCTCGGGGCGCTCGCCGCCTTCCCGGACGCGCTCGGCGCCCGGGGGCGGCGCGCGGGCGCCGGCGGCCACGGGGCGGGCCGACGCCTTCTTGAGCGTCGCGGGGACGATCTCGGCGGGGAGGTGGAGGTACTCGCGGAGGTACTCGATGCCCTCGTTGGTCAGGTACCAGTAGTAGTACTGCCAGTTGAACGTCTCGCGGACGTAGCCGCGGGACTTGAGCGACTTCATGAGGTTCATGACCTCGAGGTTGGGCACGTCGATCTCGTCGTGCTTGGGCTTGAAGTTGTCCTTCTTGGCGACGAGGACGCCCTCCTTGAACAGGTACGAGTAGACCTCGAGGCGGTTCTTCTTCGGGATGAACATGGTCTCAGGTGGTTGACAGGGCGCGCGCTGCAACCGTGGATGGGGGAAGTATAGCCGTCTAGCGGAACAGAACCTATGAGGCGGGGAGCGTCGAGCGGGAGAGCGCTTCGGGCGCGTCGAGCGGGCGCGCGCGGTGTTTTCCAGCCCCGTGATCTCTCAGAGCGGTGCAGCGCAACTCCGGCGGCCGTCGGAGGTGCGGCGCGGGCGGGTGGGCGGCGCCCGCGGCCCGCCCGGCCCGGGAGCGCGCGCGTGCCACCTCGTGCCCTCTTGGAGGCCATGAGGTGGCAGCGGCGGCCGAACTCGCCGAAACTTCGCTCGCCGCCGCATTCGCGCACGTCCATCACCTCTCTCGTGCCCTCTCGCGCGTAAGTGAGCCAAAAAGTGGGCCCTGTGGGCATCGGACGCCGGCGGGCGACAGGGCTCGAGGAGCAGCGAGTTTTGAGACGGCGATCGTGTCCCGGACGCTGGATCCGCGGCTCGCTCGCGCGCCGCTCCAGAGAGCGGCCGAGCCGAAGCTGCTCACCTTCGGCTGCGTGTGTCGCCAGACACCTCGTCCGCTGCCACAGCTCCGCTTCGGACGACCGAATTGCAATATTTTCAGCGACAAGACCACAGCAATGGTCTGCGCCCGCCGCCGCAAGAACCGGCTCATGCGCTGCGGCACGCCGGTCTTCTCTCCGATCGAGATGACCGAGGAAGCGGCCAAAGCCATGCCCGCGGAGGAAGCAGCCAAGCCCATGCCGCCGCCGCCGCCCGCAGAACCCTTACCGAACGGCGAGCTCGCGCTCGACGCGCACGGCCGCGTCGCCGTCGCGGGAGCCGACGAGCTCGACTACGGCTACCGCGCGTTCGACGGCGTCGCCGATGAAAAATCGCTCAAAACCCTAAAAAAGGACTGCGCGTCGGCCTTCTCGGCGCGGTCGAAGAAGGGCGACGAGGCCTACTCGTCCGGGAGCACGTACTGGGTGCCGGCGTCCGCGGACCGCGCCGGGCTCTGCGCGGTCGAGCGCGCGGCGCTCGACGTCTTCGAGCTCCACGCGCGAAAAGCGAGCTTCGACCGCGCGCGATCCGGCGCGGAGTGGTGGACGCTCGCCATGGAGCGCGACGGCGGCAGCGTCGCGTGGCACTTCGACCGCGACTACAGCTTGGAGGGCGACGTCAACCTGTCGCCGCACGTCGCGACGGTGACGTACCTCGCCGACGGCGGCGCGCCGACCGTCGTCGTGCCCCTCGTGAGCCCGAGCGACGCGGAGAAGCCCGTCGCCGGCGCCGGCGGCGAGTGCTTCGCGTGCCGGCCCGTCGCGGGCAAGCACATGTCCTTCGACGGGCGGTTCCTGCACGCGGCGCCCGACGGCGTCTACGGCGACGACGCGTCGTCCGCCGGCGACCGCGTGACGCTCCTCGTCAACGTCTGGCTCGACTGGAAGCCCGACGACGCCGACGTGCTGCCCGCCGCCGTCCGAAAGACGCTGTCGGCCGCGCGGCTGCCGGCGCTCGACTTCTCGCGCGAGCGCCGGCTCCGCGCGCTCCCGGTCGACACGGCGGCCGCGGCGCCGCGCGCCTGGGCCTTCCAGGCCGGCGACATGGCGACGAAGATCGCGCTCCGCGTCGCCGAGCTCCCCGGCGACGCGCCCGACGCCGTCGTCCTCTTCCAGGGCGAGCCCGGGGGCCCGCCGCTCGTCGACGTCAAGCCCGCGAAGAAGAAGAAGCGGGGCGCGTAATTTCTTTTTTTAACTACTAGTACTGTCCTCCCTTCACTCCTTGTCCAGTTCCCTCTGCCACCGCGATCTATCGTCATCCATCACGCGTCCGCCACCGCGATCTATGAGCGCCTGTTCATCTCGCAAGATCCGGGCGAAAACGCTCGCGGCGCGGCGGTCCGTCCACCGATCCACGTACTCGTCTGCGAAATCATCGAAGCCAGTATGGAAGAAATTCATGTGCTGGAAGAACTCGCGCCACCCGCGGATCACGAAATCAGCAGCGGATTCAACGCGTGACCAGTGCTGAAGCTCGCAGCTCAATGAAGGGGGCGGGCGTCCTGCGCCGGCGCCGTTCGCCATCCCCTCCCATGGTATCGGTCGACGGACACGGAGCGAACGCACAGAAACTACTATCGCCCCGCCTTCGCGGGGCTGCCCGGCGGGCTGCCCGGCGGCGACGACGGCGGCGTCTTTGCGGCGATCTTCTCCTTCTTCGCGCGCCGGAAGCCCGTCCGCGACCGCGGCTTCTCGGCGACGACGTCGGGCGCGTCGTCCGCGGCGTTCCAGACCTGGTCGTCGTAGATGGACTCCTCGACCACGTCGGGCGTCTTGGGCCGCTTCTTCGGCCGCACGAAGGAGAAGCCCCGCTTGCCCGCGGCCGCGCGGCCGCGGTCGCGGCTCTCGACCTCGTCCGCGGGCGAGTCGAAGACGCCGCGCTGCTTCGTCTCCTCGCGCTTGTTGCCGAAGATGGAGCCCCGGAAGAAGCGGCCCTTGGGCTTGGCGTTCGGCGACGGTTTCGTGTCCGAGTCGGGCGTCGCGGGCCGGAGCCGCACCGCGCCCGCGCCGTCGGGCGTCCGCGGCCGCGCGTCCGAGCGGCCCATGGACTTGGCCATCTCGCCCTTGGGCGCCTCGTAGGCCGGGCCGTAGGCCTGGGGCGTCCCCGGCCGCGACGACGGCGTGGCCGGGCGGCTCTCGGGCGTCGCGGGCCGCGTCCAGTAGTCGACGCCCGCGACGAGCTCGCGCCGCTTCCGCTCCCGCTCCTCCTCCTCGGGCGTCTTCGGCGTCTTCGGCCGGCCGCCGGCCTCGTCGGGCGTGCGCACGCGCACGAGCCGGTCCTCCCCGGGCGTCCGCGGCCGCGGCTCCTCGTCGCCCTCGGGCTCGGGCAGGAGCCGCGGCGCCTCGGAGCCCGTCGGGATCATGCCGCTCAGCGTGTAGATGCCGATGCTCCGCTCGAGGTGGCTCGGCTCGTAGACGCACGGGTACTTGGCGATGGGGAAGCGCTCGTTCGACGGGCCGCCGTCCTTGATGCCGCGCGCGACCTTGCGCGCCGCGGACGCGTTCATGCCTGCGACGCGCGGCGATCGTTTGTCCGGTCGAAATCGCCATGGGGACGCGGGGTCGCGCGGGAGACGGCGAGGAACGCCTGGGCGCCGTGCTGCTTGGCCATGAGGTCCGGGATGCCCGCGTGGGACTGCTCCCAGGCCGCGTCCATGCCCTTGGTGTCGTCGCGCGCCTTGCGCCGCTTGTGCTTCCGCTCCTCCGCGAGGCGGTGGTGCTTGTTGCGCAGCGACTGGAGCACGGCGATGGCCTCCTGGCGCGTGCGCTTCTCCGTGATGAGGGCCTTCTGCTTGATGACGATGGGCGCGTCGAGCGACGGCGGGTCGGGCCGCGACGGCGCGTCGCCGTCGTCGTCGCAGAGGATGGACTGCTCGTAGCCGTGGGCCATGACCGTGCGGTACTTCTTCTTCTTGACCTTGCGTCGCGGCTTCGGGCCCGGGTCGTCCCAGGCGACGGGCACCTCCGCGGGCTCCTCCCAGACGAGCACGGGCTCGGACTTGGGCACGACGACGGGCTTGCGCTTCGCCCGCTTGGGCATGCGCCGCCGCTGCGAGTTGATCGTCTTCTCGATCTCGTGGAAGGGCATCTTGCCGAAGATGCGCTTGCGGTTGCGCGTCTGGCGCTTCCAGAAGCGCGACCCGAGGCAGGCCTTGCGCATGAGGTACTGGATCTGCACGAGCGGCCGCACGGACCGGCGGTTGTGCGTGCACCACTTCATCCAGTCCTCGAAGGTCACGTGGCCGTTGCGGTAGATGAGCTCGTCGAAGAACTTCTGCCGCTCCTTGCGCTCGCGCGTCTCCCGGTCGAAGATGGAGTCCATGAGGAACGTCGGGTCGCGCATGACGTGGGACCGCGTCGGCTTGTTGTACTCGCCGAAGCACTCGAACGCGAACGCCATGACGTCGTTCTGGTCCTGGCTGCAGAAGTTCCAGATGGCGCTGACGAACTCGACGAAGTCGATCTCGTTGGAGGCGTCGTTGTCGAAGATGTCGAAGACCTTGCGCGCGAACGGCGTCCGCTCGACGTCGATGAACGTGAGGAACTCGAGGTCGTCCACGAGGCCGCTCCGGTCCATGTCGACCTCGAGGAAGACGTTCAACAGGCGCACGACGTCGCGCTTCTTCAACCCCAGGTAGAAGAAGTCCTTCATGTGGGGCTCGTACATGCTGTAGTCGATGCCCTCGTAGACGTCGATGCCGACGACGCGCTTCTGGTACGTGCGCTTCGCGTAGTCGTAGACCCAGAGCCAGAGGCGCCGCAGCATGCCCGGCTTCTTGTCCTTGTCCTCGGCCTTCCAGTCCGCGCGGATGTCCTGGCCCGGCTTGTGGCCCATGATCTTTTGGGACGCCTCCTCGACGGTGACGCCCGGCGGCGCCGCGGGCGTCTTCGCGCGGCGCCCGAAGAAGAAGCTCCGCTTCACGGGCGCCTCCGCACTCGTCGCGCGCTGCTCCTCGGGCGTGCCGCCGCGGTTCGCCGCGGCCGCGGCGAGGTGGCCGCCCTCCTCCCAGCTTCGACCCTTGGGCGTCCGCCGCTTCGCCTCGACGCCCGGCGTCGCCGGCGTGCCCGGCGCGCTGGACCCCCCCGGGGCCGTCAGGTCCGCGGGCTCCTCGGCCGTGCCCGGCCGCGCCGCCTCCGCCTCGTGGTTCTTCCGGTCCTCGAAGGCGCCGCCGGTGTGCTCGATGCTGTAGACGGGCACGACCGTCGCCTTGCGCTCGCGGACGCCGCTGTGGCCCATCTTTTTGACTTCTTTCTCGTGCTTCTTCGCGGCCTTGGCCTCCTTCTTCGCCGCGGCCTTCTCGGCCTTGGCGACCTTCTTCGCCTCCTTGGCGGCCTTGGCGTCGGCCTTCTTCTGCTCCTTGGCCGCTTTCTTGTCCATCTTCGCCTTCTCCTTGCGGATGAGGAGGATCTGGTTCGTCATGGCGCGGGTCGGCGTGCGCGGCTATCGAGGGGTTCAGAGGTCGCTCAACGGGGGCGGGCTGCCCAGGCCCGCACCGGCACGCCCATGCCCAGCGCCGGCACCATCCGCGGCAGCATCGAGGCGCGGCTTTCTTGAACTTTTGTTGAACTGGCGAGGCATGGGAGAGCTATAAACCTTCGGACCTAGCGCCTCACTCGCAATCCACAATGGACCTCTTCGACGGCTCGACGAGCGAGGAGGACGACGGCGACACCGTCGGCGAGGTCGTCGCGGAGCTCGCGCGGCTCGTGCCGCCCGTCGGCGCCGTGAAGCCCGTCATCGTCGTGGCGCCGGACGTCGACGGCGCCTACGAGGACCGCGCGCGCGGCGCCGGCTTCGACGTCGCGTCGCCGGGCGCCGCCTGCGACGCGCTCGTCGTGCACGCGCTCGGCGACGCCGTCGCCGCCGTCGCGCGCGGCGGCGCCGTCGCCGTCGTCGGGCCGGCCGCGGCCGCGGCGAGGAGCGCCGGTCCCGCGCTCGTCGAGCGCTGGCGCGGCGGCGCCGCCGTCGTCTTCGGGAAGCGGCTGTGCACGGCGGACGAGGTCGGCTGCGCGCCGCGGCCGCCCGCGTCGGAGGCGGAGCACGAGCGCGCGCACGGGCTCGCCGTCGCGGCGCGGCGCGCGGCCGGCCCGCTGCCCGCGGCGGCCTTCGCGGCGCGCGCGGCGCGGACGTTGCGGTCCCATGGTTTAGTCATCCTGCCGGGGCTGCTCGACCCGGCCGTCGCCGACGGCCTCGCCGCGGACGCGCTCGCGGACTTCGAAGCCTGCCGCGCCGCGCTCGTGGAACACCGCGGCGTCGACCTCATGGACCCGGGCGCGCCGCACGTCGAGACCTACCGCGAGCTCGCCATGCGCGAGGACCTGCGCTGCGACCTCCGGGGGACGCCGCGGTTAAAGGGAGAGGAAGGAGCGGAGCGGCGACACGCGCTCCGAAACAACGGCGCGCTCCGGGAGATCTGCCGCCTCGCGAGCGAGGCCCCGCGGACGGCGGCGCGCCGGGGCAACTTTGGGTTGTGGAACTTCGACCTCGGCGGGCCCGACGCGCCGAAGCGCGCGCTCGACGCGGGGCCCGTCGGCGCCGTCGTGAGCGTGCCCGGCGCCGCGGAGCAGGCCCTGCACGCGGACGCGCCGCACCTCTTCGACGACCGCGTGCTGCCGCCGCACTACCTCAACGTCTTCCTCTACGGCGGCGCCGCGGCCGCGGACCCGGCCGCGGGGCAGACGGCGTTCGTGCCCGGGCAGGACAAGAGAGCGAAATTCCCAACTTCAAAGGCTCCGATTTCGCCCACTTTCCACTCGTTTCGGCTGATTTTTGGACGAGCGATCATCTCTCGGAACGGTCTCGAAGCGTGAATGCTTTTCCCGGAACGCGCGCGCGCGGAACACCCACGTTGAAGCGACGTTGAATCACCCTTGTCCTGCCCAGGTTCGTGCCCGGGTCCCACGACCTCGCGACGTGCGCGCGGCTCACGGACGAGGCCGAGCCGCGGGACGTGCTCTTGCGGCGCGTCCAGGACGCGCTCGTGCGCCCGCGGCTCGCGGCCGGCGACGCGCTCATCTTCGACGCGCGCGTGCTCCACTTCGGCCTGCCGAACCGGTCCCGGCGCGCGGTCCGCGCGGTGCCCTACGCGAACTTCACGGAGTTCTGGTTCCGCGACCCGAAGAACTGGGACGACAACGAGAGCGTGTTCGAACCGCCCCCGCGCGTAAGCTAGGATTGCGAGGCCGCGCGGTCGAGGTCCGCGGTGACCGTGGACAGGATCCCGACCCAGGCGCAGGCGGCGAGCGAGATGTAGGGGATGCGCAGGTGGACGGGCACGAAGGCCTGCGACGTCGCCGTGAGCGGGATCCAGAAGCTCCAGCAGACGGGCAGCTGCGCGGGCAGCTCGCGCGCGTAGTGGCGGAGCGCGCCGCCGAGGCCCCGCGACCGCTCGACGACGACGTCCTTGAAGACGTAGAACAGCGGGAAATACAACAACGGCGAGCAGACGAGGTTGTCGACGAGCGTGGCCCTGGCGACGTTGCCCCAGGCGCGCCGCCCGCCGACGACGCTCGGAAACCACCGCGGGAAGAGGCCAGTGTAGAGCGGGCGATCGTAGACGACGGCCACGAGGTTCGTGAACGACGTGTACAACACGAGGCGCCGACGGTCCAGCGACGCGTCGCTGTCGCCGGACCGCGCCAGCTCGAGCTTCTGCGCCGCGAGGTCCCCGACGGCGCCGCGGAGCGTCGCCGCCGCGGCCGTCGTCTGCAACGGACGCGCCCGCGCCCACGCGTCCAGGCGGTTCGCCCCGCCGCAGGACGCCGACAGCGCGGCGAGCACGCGGACCAGGCCCACCATTTTTTAGTAAGGACAACTGCAAGGTCCAAGCTGAAAAGATACTTTTTCGGATGGCTCGCCTTGGCCAGCCACCGAGTCCTCGTCCATCGTCCTCGTCCATCCTCGTCCCCGGGATTGACGCCATGGGGAAGCTCCTGCTCGTCGGGCAGACCCTGTTCTACGCGGGCATGGCCCTGCCGACCTACGTCGTCTGGATCGGCCTCTACACGGTCCAGAAGCCCCTGCTCAAGCTGCTGACGGCGTCGAGCCACGCGGCCATGCCGCCGACCATCGACGCCGTGCAGCCCGGGGACTGCGTGTCCATCCTCGTGGGCCTGCTGGAGCTGCCCCTCTGCGTGCTGTCCTACTTTTACTACTGCTGCATGCAGCGCGCGCTGCTGCCCATCGGCGCGAAGATGCGCATCAACCTGGCGACGGACAAGTGGACGGACACGCTCTTCCTCAAGCTGGGCCAGGGCAAAATGGAGCAGAAGACGATCGTCGGCGCGCTGCTCTTCGGGCCGCGCTGGAACACGCACACGAACGTCAACGCGCTCGCGATCCTGCCGAAGGGCCGGAAGACGACGCTCACGGTCGAGAACGTCAAGGCGCCGGGCTTCTCGTGGCAGATCGTCGCCTACGGCAACCACATGAACCGCGACACCATCGGCAAGTGCGGCAAGCTCGCCACCGGCGGCGACACCTTCGAGTTCCCCGTCGAGACGAAGGCGCCGTACCCGACGCAGTTCTCGCTCGCGATCCGGTCCTACCTCTTCGACGGCACCAAGGAGGCGACGCTGCCCAAGATCTGGATGGACGGCGAGCTCCTCAACAAGGAGCCCTCGACCTTCTCCAAGGACAAGCTCGCCTTCAACTACGACCTCCGGAAGGCGCAGCGGGCGCACCACCTCGCGCTCCACTTCTACATCTGGCCCCTGCTCTGCTTCCGCCGCTTCTTCACGGAGCACTTCGTGCGCTGGCAGTACCTGCCCGTGGGCAACCCGGAGACGCAGTGGCTCTACGGGCCCACGTTCGCGGGCTACGCGCTCAACTTCAAGGTCGACGCGGAGATCCACGCGGACCACCTCGTCTTCTGCTCCGTCTACTCGCGCGCGTCCATGCCGACGCTGCCCTGCAACGAGATCCTCGAACTGGACCAGACCCTCCCGACCTGCGACGAGGACGGCTACTGGGCGATGCGCTGCGTGCGCAAGGACGGCGCGACGACGTCCGAGGCCGTCCTCGAGAAGATCAAGGTCACGCTCAACCGCGCGTCGAAGAAGGCGGACTAGGGCGTCCGCGCATGTTCCTCCTAAACCGCCAGGCCCGCGTCCCGCCGGAGGAAGGCGAACGCGCGGTCCGTCCAGCCGCACGCGTCGCCCGTCTCGCCCGTCGAGCACGCGCCGAAGCCGTGGCCGCCCGTCGGGACGACGTCGAGCTTGGCGGGCCCGGCGCCGGCCTGGCGCAGGTGGTGGAAGAACGCGAGCGAGTTGAGGTAGGGCGCCGTCGCGTCGTCGGCCGCGTGCGCGAGGTACGCCGGCGGGAAGCCCGACAGGTCGTCGAAGTCCCGGTTCAGGTCGAAGCTAAAGGCGTCCTCGCCATTGTCGTCCGCGAGCTCCCAGGGGTAGACCTACCAAGTGCGACGGGGTCGGATTTCTTCACATCTCCAGGCGAAATTCACGCGAAAAAGCACCCCCGTCGCTCGACGCTGGGGGTAGACCAGAAACACAAAGTCCGGCGCGAAGCCGTAATCGTCGACGGCGTCGACGCGGTCGTAGGCCCGGTCGCGCGCGGCGCCGACGCGCGCCGCGAGGTGGCCGCCGGCCGAGAAGCCGGCGACGCCGACGACGGCGTAGCCCCGGGCGCGCACGTGGGCCAGCGCGCGCTGCGCGTCCGCGAGCGGCGCGTCCGACGGCCACTCGTCGTCGTCTCTGCCGCGCGACGGCACGCGGTACTTGACGACGAAGCAGTCGACGCCGTGGCGCGACGCGAGGCGGGCGGCGACGTGGTCGCCCTCCTTGCCCAGGGCGACCTTCTTGTAGCCGCCGCCGGGCAGGACGACGACCGCGGCCGCCGCCGCCGCCGCCGCGGGCCAGTACGCGATCGTCGGCGCGTCGACGTTGTAGGCGCGCCGCGTGCCGTCGTCGCCCGGGCGGATGTTCTCCGCGCGGCCCTCGAAGCCGCCGTCGTTCGGCGCGCCCGCGGGGAAGAGCAGGCCCTCCCAGACCGAAGCCGCGGCCGCGGCCGTCGGCGCGGCCGTCGCGTCGGACGCCGACGCGCACGCGCCGGACGCGCAGGCGCGGCAGGCCGCGCGGCAGCCCTGGAACGCGTAGGTCGCGTCGGCGCCGACGACCCAGCACCGCGCGGGCGTCCAGCGGCTCACCCAGAAGCAGTCCTTCGACGGGTCGTCGCGCTTGTGCCACGCGCCGTCGTCGGCGCACGCGGCGGCGTTGTTCCCGCAGCTCGCGGGGCAGCCCTCGAAGCCGAGGCGGCCGTCGTCGGCCTTGGCCACGCAGCGGTCCGGCGCGAGCTTCGCGACCCAGGCGCAGTCCTTTTGCGGCGCGCCGCTCTTGTGCCACGACGCGCTGTCGGCGCAGGAGCTTTGGGCGTCAGCGGCGTAGACCAGTATGAGCAGCGCTGCCTTCATCGTCGTTGGACGCTGCCCGCATCGGTCGAGAGAATCATCGTTCCTCTTTGCGGCAGCATCGTCCTATAACAGCACCATCAATAAATAGCGAGCTCAAAGTCCGAGATCGACAGTCGCCGTCGTCGAGGCCCTCTCGACTGCGCGCCTCGCCTTTGCCCGTGCGCGTCGCGACCACCTCCTTGCGCGCTTCTCGTCGCGCGCCGCGGTCGTCCGAGCGCCTGCGAAGGCGCCGGCACACCGTCGTTTTCGCCGCCGCGCGCCGCCGCCGCTACTAGCGAGCGCGCCGCTCGCCGCCAAGCCGTCCGCCGCCGCGCCCCGCGCGCGCGCGACGCGCCCGACGGCACCATGGCCATGGCCAAGTCAAGCAAGATGCTGAGCTACATCAACTACCGCATGCGCGTGACCATCGCCGACAGCCGGACGCTCGTGGGAACGTTCCTCGCGTTCGACAAGCACATGAACCTCGTGCTCGCGGACTGCGAGGAGTACCGCAAGATTAAGGCGAAGAAGGGCACGGTGGGCATCTCCGAGGAGCGCGAGGAGAAGCGCACGCTCGGCCTCGTGCTGCTGCGGGGCGAGATGGTCGTGAGCCTGTCCGTCGAAGGGCCGCCGCCGCCCGAGGACGACCTCCGGGCCGTCGTCGGCGGGCCGGGCATGGGGCGGGCGGCGGGGCGGGGGCTCCCGACGGCGCCCCTCGGCGCCGCGCCGCTGGGCCTCGCGGGCCCCGTCCGCGGCATCGGCGGGCCGGGCGCGTCGATCATGGCCGCGCAGGCGCCCGGCCAGGCCTACGGCCGGGGCATGCCCCCGGGCATGGCCGGCATGCCGCCGCCGCCGGGCGCGCCCGGCTACCCGCCGCCGCCGCCGGGCATGGGCCTCGGCATGCCGCCGCCGCCGCCGCGGCCGCCGGGCACGTAGCGCCGCGGCCGCGCCGGACAAGCACCGGGCGCCCGCGCCGCCGCGCGCCGCCCGAAGCCGGGCGCGCGCACCGCACCCAACCCCCTCCCGATCCCAGTAAAGAACCCACGTCTCGCGTCGCGCAGATGCGCTCGCGCACGGTACGTTGCGGATTTTGCCAGGGTTGCCATTTGGCGGAGCGGTGCGTCGGGCGCACCGAGGAGAGCGGCAGCTCGTCGGGCAGAGCGCGAGGCGGGGGCACACGTCGGAGGCCCCAGCGCACCTGCCGCGCGCCGAAACCGACCGCTCGACGACTCATGTCGCTCGCCGCGGCGCGCTTCCTGCGGGGCCGGCTCCAGCCTGGCCAGACCGACGACGCCATGGACGACGGCGCCCCCGGCGGCAACGACGACCCCCAGCTCGAGGAGGCCTTCCTCTTCCTCGCGGTGCTCGCCTGCCTCGTGTGCTGCTGCTTCTCGACGTGCATCGTGCGGCGCCTGCGGCGGCTCAGCGGCTACGGCGGCCGGTACCTGTCGGCGGAGCTCACGCAGCCGCTCCTCGACGAGGCCGACTCGGAGGCGGTCTTCCGGGACGGCGACGGCTGGCGGTGCCCCATCTGCGCCCTCGAGAACCGCGTGTCGTCGGGCGCCTGCGACGTCTGCGGCCTGAGCCAGCGCGTCGGCACGGGGCCGCGCGCCCGGGAATTGGAGGCCAAGGCGCGGCTCGGCGCGGGCTACGCGAGCGAGCGCAGTTTAAGTGTCCCCGACGAGGCCAAGGAGGACGAGGCGAAGAAGCCGAGCCGGTCGCCGCGGCGCAAGGGGTCCCGCAAGGACGCGGAGGACGCGGAGGCGCCGCTCCTCGCGCTCGACGCGCGGCAGCGCCGCGCCGCGCGGCGGCGGCGCTGGCGGCGGGCTTTGGACGACCATGGCGTCGCCCGGTGGCGCCTCGACGGCGACTGCGGCGGCGCGGCGCCGTCCGGCGCGCGCGGCTGCGTCGGCGCCGTCGTCCACGCGCTGCTCGACCGCGCGCCGGGCGCGACGGCTTTGGTCCCCGCGGAGGGCGCGGCGGCGTCGCCCGAGGAGCCCGGAAACCTCGGCGCCCAGTTCGTCTCGAGCGCCGTGCTCGCGGCGCGCGACGGCGGCCGCCGGCGGCGCCGGGCGCGCCGCGGGGACGCCGCGCCGCGGAGCGACGACGACGGCGACGCCGCGCCGCGGCTCGGCGCGTTCGCCGCGCGCGCCGCGCGCGCGCGCGCGCTGTCCGAGGGCGACGACGACGACGAGGAGGAGGACGAGGAGGACGCCGACGAGGAGGCGCCGCGGCAGACGTCCGCGGAGGCCGCGGCGCGCGAGCGCGCGGAGGAATTGGATCGCGTCGCGGGCCTGCCGTTCCGCGAGAAGCACCTCTGGCTCGAGAAGCGTTTGGAAGATTTACGCTGCGCGCCGTCGGAGGGCTACGTGCGCCTCGAGATCCGGCGCCACTGCCTGCTCGAGGACTCCGTGCACCAGGTGCTCGGCCTCGAGCCGCGGTCGCTCCGCCAGTGGATGCGCGTCCAGTTCGTCGACGAGCCGGGCATCGACGTCGGCGGCATCGAGCGCGAGTGGTTCGGCCTCGCGTCCGAGGCCGTCTTCGACCCCGCCGTCGGCGTCTTCCGCCAGGCCGCGGGCGACGGCGGCCTCGTCTTCGACGCGTCGGCGTCGCTGCCGGCCAAGCTCGGCGGCCACCCGCGCGCGCGGGAGCTCTACGAGTTCGCGGGGCGCCTGCTGGCCAAGGCCCTCGTCGAGCGCATTCCGGTCGCGGCGCCCCTGAGCCTGCCGCTCTACAAGCAGCTCGTCGGCGCGCCCCTGGAGTACGACGACCTCGAGTGCCTCGACCCGGATTTGTGCCGCAACCTCGACTGGCTTTTACATAATGACGGCGTCGACGCGTTGGACCTCGACTTCTCCGTGGCGACGCCGCGGACCTGCCCCTTCGGGGGCGCGGACCCGGACGCGCTCGGCGACGACGACGACGACGGCGAGGCGCGCGACGTCGACGCCGTGTCCTACGTCCTCGACACGAACGTGGCCATCCGCGAGCTCTGCGAGCGCGGCCGCGACGTCAAGGTCACGGACCGCAACAAGCGGACTTACGTGGAAGCGCTCTGGCGGCACCACGTCCTCGAGGCGCACAAGGACGCGACGTGGCATCTGGCCAAGGGCGTCTACTCCGTGCTCCCGCCGGACCTGCTCGCCGTCTTCGACGCCTACGAGCTCGAGCTGCTCATGTGCGGCTCGCCGACGATCGACGTCGCCGACTGGGCCAAGCACACGGAGTACGCGGGCGAGTACCGGCGCCGCGGCGACCGGCACGCCGTCATCGCCTGGTTCTGGAAGGCCGTGGCCAAGCTCGACGACGCCGACCGCTCCAAGCTCCTCCAGTTCTGCACGGGCTCGAGCCGCGTGCCCTGCCACGGCTTCCGCGCGCTCCAGCGCAACGACGGCAAGTACCAGCGCTTCTGCATCCAGTCGCTCCCGCGCAACGAGCTCCGCTTCCCGCGCGCGCACACGTGCTTCAACCGCATCGACCTCCCCCTCTACTCCTCCTACGCCGAGCTCGAGGCCGGCCTCAAGGTCCTCATCGCCATGGACGCGACGGGCTTCACCATGGACTAGTCCGCGACGGCGCCGGTTGGTCGACCCCCCCTTTTTTTGCACAGCACCCCTCTATTGATCTAACGCACGTTCGCCTTGAGTGCGCGTGGTCCACGGGCCCCGGCGCAGGCGCCAGGTGCGCCGGGCGCCAAGCAGGGGGCCACGGCCTGCCGCGCCGTGAATTGACCCGCACCTCGCGAGCCAGAGGTGGTGCTGGCACCAGCGATCGGGCGACCCGCGAAAGTGGCGACAAACCTGCTCGCGTGCGCCGGCGCCCTCGCGACCCCCCTCCGCCCACCGCCCGCCTCCTTCCTCGCGCCTTCACATCGGATCGTTCGTCCGCCCGCGCGATTCTTGATCCGCGCCCCGGCCGTCGGCGGACGTAGAGTGCCCGCACCCCCCGGTGCCCGATCGCGGGAGGGAGGAGGCGCTCCGGCGGGCGTCGTGGTCGCGCCTCGAGCCCCAGCCTCGCATCGCGTTCGCGCTCTCGATCACGGGCTCGCTCGTCGACGCCAACTGACGCCTCTCGGCGACGTATACGGAGAGATGGGGCGCCCGTATTGGAGCCCTCCCGGCGCAACATTCGAAGGCGACGCGTAGAAGCCGGGGAACGGGAGGGGTGCGAGGGGGATTCGCGCGCGCGCGCGCTCAGGCGGCGGCGCGGGCGACGACGGCGGCCTCGATGTCGTCCGCGTAGCCGAGGAGCATGAGGACGGACTCGGCCATGCGGTTGACGTTGCGCGCGGCCTCGTTCGTGCCGTGCTCCGTGGCGTCGGCGAGCGTCTGCCAGCCGCCGCGCTGCTTGCCTCCCGTCCACGCGGCGGCGGAGATGTCGATGGCGTTGCGGAGCACGGTCGTGCCCGACAGGCGGCGGTCGAGCTCGGAGAAGCCCGTGACGTCGAGGACGGCGGCGGGGAGGAGCGTCGGCGCGGCGGCGGCGACGCGGGCGCGCTTGTGCGCCGGCGCCGCGGGCGTCGACGCCGTGGAGACGACGGGCACCGTCGCCGTCGAGCCGCCGCGCTCGCCCGCGGGCCGCCGCGCGGGCGTCTCCTCGTCGGGCGGGCTCGTCGGCGGGTACTTGGGCCAGGGGTCGTCGACGGAGCGGCGCCGCGACGCCGGCGCGGGCGGCGGCGGCGCGAGCGGCGCCGCGGCCGGGCTCGGCGGGCTCGGCGCCGGCGCCGCGTCGTACGAGTCCGCGTCGTCCTCGTCGTCGTCGTCGTCGTCGTCGAGGGCGCAGCGGCTGTCCTCCCACTCCGTCTCCGGCGCGTCGTCGGCCTCCGGCGGCGGCGGCGCGGGGGCCTCGGCCTGGGACGGCCGCGCGCGCGGCGACCGCCGCGGCGGCGGCGGCGCCTCCGCGGACGACGCGGACGACTCGACGACGACGACGCGGCGGCGCCGCGGCGCGGGCGGCGGCGAGTCGTCGTCCGGCGACGAGTCCTCGGGCGACGGCGCGGCGGCGCGGTCCGAGCCGCGGCGGAGCCGCTTCCGCGCGGACCGCGGCGGCGGCGGCTCCGAGTCGTCGGACTCCGCGACGACGACGACGTCGAGCTCGGGCGACCCGTCCGTCGTCAGGTTCGACACGTCGCTCTCCTCGAGGGGCGCGCGCGTCCGGTCGAGGACCCAGCGGCGCCGGCCCTTGTCGTAGGTCGCCTCCCGGCCGATGCGCGCGGCGATCTCTTTGGGCGTGAAGCCGCTCGACGGCCGCGCCTCCATGAACTTGGCGACGATCTTCGCCTTGGGCAGGCGGCCGTGGTCGCGGACGACGGCCGAGAGCCCGCTCCAGAGCGACGCGTCCGTGTAGCTCGCCTCGTCGTCGTCGTCGTCGTCGTCGTCGCCGTCGCCGCCGCGCGCGTCCGGGAGCCAGGGGCTCTCCTCCTCCGTGCCCGCGAAGCGCCGCGACGGCTCCGAGTCGAAGTCGAGGGGCGACGACGCCGCGGGCTTCGTCGGCCGCGGCGGCGGGTGCGCGTCCTGCGCGTGCTCGTACTGCGTCGGCGGATCCGGCGTCGGCGACGGCGGCGGCGCCGCGGGCGCGGGCGCCTCGCGGCGCGCGGCGGCCGGGCCGCCGCCGAAGAGGCGCTCCGGCGCCGCTTGCCGCGACTCGGGCGCCGCGGGCGACGGCGACCGCGACTCCGGCGCGAAGTCCGCGGGCGACGGCGACGGCGACGGCGGCGGCGCGGCCGCGGGCGGCTGCGTCTCGCGCTCGGGCGGCGGCGGCGGCGACGGCGACGGCTCGCGCGCGGCGGGCTTCTTGCGCGGCGCCGGCGGCCGGGGCGGCTTCGGCGGGCCGCGGCCGGGCATGGCGAAGGTCGCGGCGACGTGGCGCCCGCCGCCCGCCGGCGCGCGCCGCGCGGCGCCGCGGAGCGCCGGGAGCGACTGGGGCGCGTCGGGGAAGTCCGCGCCGCGCGCCGCGTCGAAGCTCACGGACGACCGGTGCGACTCCTGCGAGAGCGCGGCGCCGTCGTCGTCGGCCTCGGGCGACGGCCCGCCGGGCTGCACCGGCGGCTTGAAGGCCGCGCCGGCGCGGCGCAGCGCCGCGACCTCGCGCGCGCCGCCGTGGAGCCAGAGGCGCACGCGGACGGGCTCGTCGTGGTCCGGCGGCGGCCGCCGCGACTTGGTCACGTGGTGGAGCACCTTGCGCGCGTGCGGGTAGGGCACGCCGAACGTCAAATTCGGCCCGCCGGTCCCGTGGATCTCCACGTCCACGAGGTCCGCGTAGCAGAGCGAGAGCGGCGTCTTCGGCTGCGTCATCCGCGCGCGGTCGCGCTTGTCGAAGACGCCGACGTGGAGCCGCTCGTCGCCGCAGTCGACCCACTCGACGAAGTCGACGGGCGTCTCGGGCTCGCGCGGCAGCCAGGGGCAGTGCACGAGGAGCTCCTTGATCTTGAGCGACAGCGGCAGCGCGCGCGCGTCCTCTCCGCCGCCGCGGGGCTCGGCCCGCGTCGCGAGGAGCGCCTCGCGCCGCGCGCGCTCGTAGACGGCCTGGAAGCGCTCCTTGGCGCCCTGGGTCGCCTCGAAGGTCTGCGCGAGCGCGCCGCCGAGCGCCGGGTGGAGCGCCTCGCGGAGCGCCGCGGCCTTGGCCGCCCACGGGTTCCGCGACGGCTCGACGTCCGAGCGCCGCCGCTGCGACAGGGCGATCTCCACCGGCGGGCCCGGCAGGTTCTTGAGGCCGCGCTTGTGCCACGCGCGCCAGAGCACGTAGAGCGCGTCGACGCACGCCTCCTGGAGCTCGTGGTCGGCCATCGACGCGACGGACCGCGCGACGCCGCGCGCGAGCGCCTCGAGGCCCGAGTCCTTGGCGAGGAGCGCCTCGCTCGGGCCCTTGCCGCTGACGAGGCGCAGGAAGATGTGCGCCGCCGCGTCGCGGCCCATCGTCGACACCTGGGACGGTTCCGCGTCCCGGCGACGTTCCGCGCGCGCGCGGAGGAGCGGGGCGGGGAACCCCCGTCTTTGTGGACACCGGGGAACCGACGGCGCTCGTCGGGATGATGCGCAGCGCGAGCTCGAGCAGGGCCCCGTCGCGCGCCGCGACGGCGCTGACGGCGTCGCTGTCCATGTTCCGCACGAGCGTGCCGAGGATCGACGCGAGCACCTTCTCGTCCTTGACCGTGGTCCCGAACGTCGGGCTCGCGCGCCGCGCCTCGGCGGCCGTCTGCGAGCGAGGGGGGGTTGCGTTCCGCGAGGCGGAACCGCGGAGCGGCGGAAGCGACCGCGTCGATCGGATCGCGCCGCGGGGGGGTCGGTGGTGCCACCGGGGCGTCGCGTTGCGTGCGCTTCGTGCGGCGTTGCGTGGTGCGGCGATGCGTCGGCGCGCCGCCTCTCGCGTCGACCCCCGGGCCCTCCCCCGGGCCCTCCTCTCCGTCGTCCCGGCGCGCGAGATCGTCGGACGCGGCGCGCGCGCGATCTTCGCGAACAGGTCGTTGCAGAGCTCGACGCTCCGCTCGAGGAGCGGGTCGAGGTCCTCGGCGAGGCCCTTGTCGCTCAGGATGCGGGAGCGGAAGTCCGTCGAGAACTTGCCGAGCGCGTTCGCAAAGGCCTGCGGATTTCGCTCAGAGAGACTCGTTCGGTGTTGTTTTGCGACGCACCGTGCGATTCTCCGTGTTGCGGATCAGCGCGATCTTCCGACCCATGGCGTCGGTCATGGTTGCGATGGCAGTACGTGTGGCGCCGGTGCGTGAGGACTGATGAGCTCGGCCTGTGGAGGTGGGAAGCTTCTCAGGTTCTCCTAGCCAAGTCTATTGCGACCGCGCGCGGCGCGCGTGCTACGCCTCGTGCTCGAGCGATAGGCTAGCAGGAAGCTCGACTTCGACGGCAGTCCGCTTGTGAGCGCTCCCGTTCTTCTACCGGCAAGTCCTCGTGCGGTGGCGGTCGACGCGTCGCGCGCGGCCGAAACTTCCCGCATCCCAGGCGCAGCCACGCACTTGGCGGGCGCCTCGCGCACCGGCGCCTTGGTGCTCTTCTTGGACGCGGCGAGCGCCGCGGCGGCGCGCTGCTCCTTCTCCGCGCGCGCCATGGCCTTGGCGTCGTCCTCCGACGCGGCGAGCGCCTTGGCGGCGCGCTCCGCGCAGGCCTCGGCCGCGTGGTAGGCCGGGGGGGTCCACCTATGCTTTCACACGGACGTCGATCCGTCAACCACCTCCTCAGAGATCGACAAGCTTCTCGCGGATTCGGATGCAAGCAGATCGGTGATTCACGGATGTGCCTACCGTCTCTTTATAAGTAGAAACTAGGCTTGGCTCGGCGCGCCGCGCCCGGGGCCCATCGCCTTCGCCCGACGCCGCTTCCTCCGGGCTCAACGCGGATGACCGCCCTCCCCTCAGACGATGCTTAGGTTCTCCCGGATGCCGAGACGCCCCGGATGCCGACACGCCCCGGAGCTGGGAACACACTTTGCACGTGATTGGCCATCGCCTCGTATGGCCGGGGGTCCTCTTCGCCCTCGCGCTTTTGTTGGCGAGCACGGCGACGAGGTGCCGATGCGGCGTCCGGACGACGATGGGCGCGGGGGCTAGTGTTGATGTAGAGAGATGCGCGGCGGCGACAGACTCTTCGGCTGCGCGGCGGTTCATTCTTGCGCTGACCGCATCGCGGAAAGACGCACGACGCCGCCGACGCGGCGCCGGACTGCCTGGCTGCCGACGCCGAGTCCGACGGCGCGCGGTCGCCCCGCGGCGGTACTAGTGCGACGCACGATTGCCGCGGGCGCTGCGCCGCCGTTCGACGACGCCCGACGAGAGAAGCCCCGTCGACGGGAGACGCGCGCGCCGACCGACGCGACCGCGCCGCGTACAACCGCCTCCGACGCGCCCGCTTCCTGTAGGCAAAGATGGGCAAGTACAGCTACGACGCCGACTCGGCCACGGAGTCCAGCAAGGCCTGCGGGTCGTCCCTCCGGGCCCACTTCAAGCACTGCCGCGAGGTGTGCGACAACATCAAGGGCATGAAGCTGGCCAAGGCGAAGGCGTTCCTCGAGGACGTGCTCCAGTTCAAGCAGGCCGTGGCCTTCACCAAGTTCACGGGCGGCTGCGGGCGCCACGCCCAGGGCAAGCTCCAGAAGGCGGCGGGCGACAAGGTGCGCTGGCCCCAGAAGGCGACGAAGATCGTCCTCGACCTGCTCAAGAACGCCGAGGCGAACGCGGAGATGAAGGGCCTCGACGTCGACGACCTCGTCGTCAAGCACAGCCAGGCGAACCGCGCCCAGAAGCAGCGCCGCCGCACCTACCGCGCCCACGGCCGCATCAACCCCTACATGGCGAGCCCCGCGCACATCGAGATCGTGCTCACCAAGTACCAGGAGCCCGTCAAGAAGGGCGAGGAGGACGCCGAGAAGCCCGTGCAGAAGCTCACGCGCAAGCGCCAGGCCCAGCTCCGCATCAAGGCCGGCGGCGGCACGGCGTAGGGCCGCGCGGGTCTCCCGGGGGGCGGCCGGCCGCCCGCGGTCCGCCCCCGCCGTCGCTGCCCATCGGCGCGCGCGGGGCCCGCCCCGCTAACGCCACCTCTACCGTAGTCGCCTCGCCGCCGCGGCGCGCGGGGGACGTCGGGTCGCGGGGGACGTCGGGTCGCGCGCTGCCGGCACGCGGCTAGACGCCGCCGGCGAGCACCCGTAAAGTTGGTCGCGCGCGGATTAGGGGGGGCGGGGGCTCCGGTGCCTAGGCGGCCTCGCCGCCGACGCAGGGCTTGAGCCCCGCGGCCTTGAGCTGGGCGCAGAGGGCGGCGATCTTGGCGTCGTCGGGCGCGTCCGGCGCGAGCGGCGGCGGCGGCGGCGCGGACGTCTCCGGCTTCATCGCGGGGAAGAGGAGGACCTCGCGGATGGAGTTCTTGTTCGAGAGGAACATGGTGAGGCGGTCGATGCCGCAGCCCCAGCCGCCCGTGGGCGGCAGGCCGTGCTCGAGCGCGACGCAGAAGTCCTCGTCCTTGACCATGGCCTCGTCGTCGCCCGCGTCGACGTCGCCGGCCTGCGCCGCGAAGCGCTCGCGCTGGACGAAGGGGTTGTTGAGCTCCGTGTAGGCGTTGCAGAGCTCCTTGCCCGCGACGAAGAGCTCGAAGCGCTCCGTGAGGCCCGGCTTGTCCCGGTGGTACTTGGCGAGCGGCGACATCTCCGCGGGGTGCTCCGTGATGAACGCGGGGTTCACGCAGTTGTCCTCGAGGAGCTCGCCGACGAGGTTGTCGACGAGGCGCGCGACCGTGTGGGGCTTCTGGCAGGGGTCGATCTTCGCGGCGGAGTGGACCGCGAGGAGCTTCGCCGCGGCGTCGGGAAGCGACAGCGCGCCCGGCGCGTCGAGCCACGCCGCGTCGATGGACAGCTTCGCGAGCTCCTTCACCAAACCCGCGAGCATGGGCACGCGGGGCCAGGGCGGCGAGAAGTCGATCTCGATCTCGTCGCCCTCCTTGGGCTGGTACTTGACCTTGTACGTGCCGTGGATGTCCTTGACGAGCGACGAGATCATGTCCTCGGTCATGTCCATCAAATCGTGGTAGTCCGCGTAGGCCATGTAGAACTCGCAGGTCGTGAACTCGGGGTTGTGCGTCAGGTCCATGCCCTCGTTGCGGAACTGGCGGCCGATCTCGTAGACGCGGTCCAAACCGCCGACGACGCACGTCTTGAGGTAGAGCTCGGGCGCGACGCGCATGAAGACGTTGATGCCGAGCTCGTTGAAGTAGGTCACGAAGGGCTTCGCCGTCGCGCCGCCGGCGACCATGTTCATCATGGGCGTCTCGACCTCGAGGAAGCCGCGGTCGTCGAGGTACTTGCGCACGGAGGACACGATGCGGCTCCGGATCGCGAAGACGTCCGCGGCGCCCTCGTTGACCATGAGGTCGAGGTAGCGCTTGCGGAAGCGCGTGTCCGGGTCCTTGAGCACGGACGCGCCCTGGCCCTTGGGCAGCATGTGGAGGCACGGCGAGAGGAGCGCGAGCTCTTTCGGGAAGATGCTGAGCTCGCCGCGCTTCGACTTGCCGGGGGACCCGACGACGCCGACGACGTCGCCGCGGCGCAGGCGGTCGTTGATGGCCTCCCAGGCCTCCTCGCCCGCGCCGAAGGACCGCGGGTCCGACATGACCTGGATCTTCACGCCCGACCCGTGCAGGTCGTAGAAGATGAGCTTGCCCTGGCCCGCCTTGCGCATGGCCCGGCCCGCGACGCTCACCGTGACGTCGTCGACGCGCGCGCCGTCGGCGAGGCCCCCGAAGGCCTCGACGTACTCGGGCAGCGTGTGCGACACGGCGAACTTGTGCGGCCACGGCGACGCGGCCGCGCCGGCGTCCGACGCGGCCTGGAGCTTGCTCATGGTCGCGCAGCGGTTCTCGAAGTACTGGTTCGGCGACAGCTGGTCGTCGGCCTCGGACGACGCGAGGGCCGACTTCTTCTTCGGGCCCTCGGCCGCGGCCTTGGCCTCCTTCTCCGCGGCCTTGGCCGCCTTCTTCTTGTCGGCCTCGCGCTTCTTCTGCAGCTTCTTCAGCGCGTTCTTCGACATCATCTCGCCCGTGACGTCGTCCTTGACCATGTTGGCAGCATTCTCACCTGCTGGCGCGTCTCCCATCGCTGCGACCTAGCAACAAAGACCACAGTCGCCCGCAGCACTCGAGGTTTCAAGCGCCAGAGCCGCCGCGCGGGCAATCGGCGATCCGCCCCAGCTCCGCCGCGCAAAGGCGCCTCTCGAGCGGTCTTTTTCTACAGCTCGACGCGCCGAGTTCTCGGGCGTGAGGCGCGGCGTGTCATGGCGACCGTCGCGGGCGTCACGGTCCTGATCGCCGACCGCGACCCGGCGTCGCCGGGCAAGGAAAGCGACGCCGTTATGTACGAATTCCGTTGCGCGAGCGGCGACGCGCCGGCGCGCCACTGGTCCGTGCTGCGGCGCTACTCTGAATGCCTCGCCTTCCACACGCAGCTCGTCGCGGACGCGCGCGCGCCGCGTCCCGACGCGTCGCGGAAATTCGTCGATCGCGACGACGAACGCGCGGCCTCGCGGACACTCGTCGATCGCGAATTCGTCGATCGCGACGACGAACGCGCGGCCTCGCGGACACTCGTCGATCGCGAAAACGTTCGTAGGTCCAGACCATGCCCAAGTCCCTCGAGTTCCCGTCGCGCCTCGCCTTCAACTCCAAGTCGAGCAAGGTCGTGTCCTTCCGGCGCAAGGCCTTCGAGCGCTACTTCGGCACGCTCGTCGCGGAAACCCAGACGTCGTCGACGAAGGACGGCGGCGACGCGGCCCTCCTCGCGGCGCGCCTCGCGGACTTCCTCGGCGCCGACGACCCGGACCGCATCGAGATGAACGAGTTCGAGGAGGACGGCGAGGAGCCGCCCGGGAGCATCTGCGACGCGGACGTGCTCTCCCGGATCATGTCCTGCACGGGCATGTACTAGGCTCCCCCCCCCTGTTAATCCCCCTTCGCCTTGGCCGGGGCGTCGTCGAGGCGCAGCGCGAGGACGACGGCGTAGGTCGCGAGGACGAACGCGTGCCACCGCGCGGTCGCGGCCGCGTAGGCGGCGTGGCCCGCGACGTCCGTCGGCTCCAGGGCGCACAGGGGCTGGATCGCCGTCACGTTCGAGAGGCCGATGGGCAGCAGCGCGCCGACGACCATGGCCGCGACGGTCAGCGTGTCGTTGAGCGTCCAGAGCGACCGGCCGAGGCGCAGGTAGAGCACGGTCGCTTGCGCGGGGCCGAGGCACAGGAACGCGAAGGCGACGAACCAGTGCTTCCAGGCCCAGCCGCCGACGCCCGCGAAGAAGACGCAGTAGTAGTCTCTCGTCTTCAGCGGGTCGGCGTTCAAGTCGGCGGACAGATCGACGAAGATGCAGCACGCGTAGTAGAGCACGCAGGCGACGTGGAACTGCTTGCCGAGCACCATCGCGTGGAGGCGGCGGCTTCGCGGCGCGCAGGAAGCGACAGTCGCAGGAAGAGGCAGCCCCACCTCGGTCGCAGGAAGAGGGGCAGCCCACCTCGTGAGAGGCAGCCCAATAATGTTTGGGGTTGCGCCGGACCTTGCGGTGGGATTGGAGTGCGGAGCTATGGCGCCGGCGTCGAGGCCCGCGGCCGCTGGCGCGGCGCTGCTCGCCTCCGTGGGCCTCGTCGCCTACCGATCGCACTCGTCCGCGGCGGTGGCCACCGTGTCGCTGGCCGCGGCGCCGGCGGCCGTCGACGCGCCGTCCGAGGAGGCGCGGGCAGCCTCGTCGGCGCGGGCAGCCTCGTCGGCCTCGTCGGCGCGGGCGGCCGAGTCGGACCTGCGCGCGGACATGACGACGGTCGTGAACCAGAACAACCTGACGAAGATGACCTGGGCGAGCACGGACCCGATCCTGGCCCAGGAGTTCTTCCTCAAGTACGTGCCGAGCCACAAGGCGCTCGACGGCTGCGACCCCTACTGCGAGTGCGGCGTCCAGGGCCGCGTGACCTGCAACGGGACGTCGGACTTCGGCCTCCACGCGACGAACGACATGGTGCACCCGTCGGGCACGAAGTCCGTCGCGGACCTCGAGGAGATCTTCACGTCCAAGTACGCGGCGTTCGCCGAGTACACGGACGTCATGGACCACCACGTGGGCCTCTGGACGCCGGACCTGGACCTGACCATCGTCATGCTCCGGGAGGAGGCCATCCCCTTCCTGACGCTGTCGTGGACGTCCGTCGACGGCCTGTCCTACTACTCGGTCCTCGTCGCGGTCCCCAAGACGATGGTCCTCGTCGAGTTCGTCGGCGTGCCGCCGTCGGCGTCCGCGCTCGGCGACGGAAACGTGCTCGCCGTCGACGTGCCGCGCTGCGCCCAGTCCCTGGCCCACCTGAGCCGCGACGGCGCCACGGAGACGCAGATGACGCCGCTGTGGATCTCGCGCGCGTCGTCGGACGCGAACCGCGACGCCGCGTGGTACGCGTCCCACTTCTGGGCGTCGACGGTCTACAACGAGACGACGACGGACGCGCTGGGCAACACGAACACGCACATCTACATGATCATCAACCCGTCGGACTACGTCTTCCACTGGGAGCTCCACTTCGTGCAGCGGCCGCCGTCGTCGCTCGGCGGCATGACGATCGCGGACGTCGAGGGCTACTTCAAGGAGGTCCACCGGTCCGTGATCCTGTCGCCGGTCTGCGGCTTCGACAGCTGGATCGACAACCACTACGGCATGGACATGCCGCCCCAGTCCGTCCACAAGGACGCCGTGTCGGGCTACTACCTCGACCGCCTGCTCCGGTCCCTCGACACGGACGCGGGCAACACGTACCGCCTCTACAAGCAGACCGTGCTCGACGCGGGCGTGCTCTACGCCCTCTACGTCGTCGAGCCGAGCGGCTACTCGCTCCAGATCAACGGCTACCTCGAGTCCGCGCCGGCGCTCGTGCCCACGTGGAACTTCACGCTCTGCGGCCAGGGCTACTGCAGCTCGAGCCTCGGCGACGGCATCCACCGGTGGGACCCGCCCCGGGACCCGGCGCCGACGAACCCGACGTCCGGATGATCGCCCTCGTTCGTTTCGTAACCGACATCGGCCGTTAGATGACGAGGGAGTCGTAGTGGACGCCGCCGCGGTAGCAGACGCGGACCGTCTTCTCGGCGCCCTGCTTCTGGAAGAGGGAGATGCGCTTGTAGCCGAGGGCGCACTGCTCGTAGACCTCGACGTTGCAGTTCTTGAGCTCGGACGTCGCGGCCATCTCGATGCCGCCGCCCCAGCCGCCGCGCGACATGCGCTGCGTGTAGGTCGCGACGGACACCAAGGCGTCCCAGTGGATCCAGTCGCGCAGGGGCGTGTCGGAGATCTTGAGGTCCGGGTTGTTGCGGATGAAGGCCATGATCTCGCGCCGGAGGCTCGTCGCGCCGCGGCCGTCGCGGAGGCCGTAGGACAGCGAGTGGAAGAGGCAGGACCCGTCGGGGGGCTGGGGGATGACGCGCGCGCGGCGCACGACGACGGGCGGGCAGTCGCTGCCCAGCGTCTTGCCCTTGCCGAGGTTCCGCGTCGCGTCCGGGTGGCTGTCGCGCTGCTTCTTGAAGTGGGGGCACTTGCTCGACTCGTGGGCGCCGTCGCACTTGGAGCAGCAGAGCTTGCCGCCCTTGGCGCCCGTCGCCGCCGCGGCGTCGTCGGCGGGCTCGCTCCGCAGGTCCCGCGCGCTCCGCGTCGCGAGCGGCGCCTCCTCGAGCGACCGCGACCGCCGCGCGCCGCCGCCGTCGGACGCGCGGCGCCGCGCGGCGGCGACGCTCACCGGGGCCGCGGGCTTCGCCGCGCCGCGCGCCGGGGCGACGTTCTCGCGGTCGTCGTCGAGCGCGCCGGACGCGCGCGACCGCCGCTTCGCGCGCGCGGGCGCGGCCGCGGCCGCGGCCGCGGACGGCCGCCGCGGCGCCGCGGCGAGCGTCGGGGGCGGCCGCGAGGGCCGCTGGTCCGACACGGGCGCGTGGGCGTTGCCCCAGTACTCGTTGACGGCCGCGGACTCCGCGCGGACCTCGGACCGCGCCCGGGCTTCCCGCCGCTCGCGCCGCTTCCGCCGCCGCTCCGCGGCGCCGGGGTCGAAGGGGTCGTCGCCCGCGCTCGCGGCGGTCCGATGTCCCTTGCCCGCCGCCGCCGCCGCGCGGCCCGGCGCGGGCCGCGCGGCCCGGTCGCGCGGCCGGTCGTCGCCGAGGCTCGCGGGCCGCCGCGCGTCCGCGGGCGCGGACGCCGCGGAGCCGCCACCTCGCGCCGTGAGGCCCGGCCGGGCGACGGGGTCGAGGCCCGGCCCGCTGCGCCGGCTCGCGCTCGACGCGGACACGCCCCGGGAGCCGCCCCGCTCCCAGTCCTCGTCGACGGCCCAGCTGTCCAGCGACGGCTTCGACCGCCGCCGCCGGAAGAAGGACGACAGCATGCGGGACGCGACCTCCGAACCGATCGCGACTCAAAAGAGCACCGTGCCGTGCACCGTTACCGTCGCCGCGCCTTCGGGACGCCTTTCGGGGGGATGAGGGACACGCGGCAGATGCCGTCGCGGGCGCACTGGGCGCGCTGGGCGTCCCAGGTGCGCTTCCAGCCGAAGTCGCGGCCGAGGAGCGCCTCGAGCCGCGCCGTGTCGTCGGCGACGGCCGCGACCATGGCGTCGTAGTTCGCCGCGGATACGTTGTAGGGCGCCACGGAGCGCCGGTTCGACGGCGTTTCTTCGGCCTTGGACAGGTTGCGCGCCGGCGCGACGTCCAGGTCCAGAAACGCCAGGATCCCCGCGTAGAGCGTCGCGAGGCCGTCGCGCTCGAAGAGGTCCTCGAAACGGACGACGTGGAACTCGTCGAGCGCCCAGCCGTTGTCCAGCCACGAGGATAGGTGGGCGTGGTAGCGCGACCCGCCGAGGTGGTGGCCGCCCTCGAGGAACCACTTTTTGGCGACGCAGCAGTCCAGGGGCCGGTAGTGGAGGCAGTTGGGGACTTTCGGGAACTTGAGGGCCATGTGCTGGAGCCACGAGATGGCCCGCGCGACGGGCTCGCGGAAGATCACGACGGCTTTGGCCCAGGGCGCCGCGGCCTTGAGGGCGCGGGCCACGGGGCCGCCCCACTGGAGGTAGTAGGCCGTCGCGTCGAACGTCGCCGCGCGCGCGAGCCCGCGGCCGCAGAGCTCGGGCAGCCGCAGGACGTCCCGCGCGTACCAGGCGTCGTACCAGGTCCGCGCGACGGACGGGTAGGCGAAGAAGCCCGGCTCCTTGGGCGTCGGCGCGACGATCTGCGGGTGCCGCGCGAGCAGGTCGTAGAGCGACGTCGTCCCGCACTTTTGGCAGCCGCCGAGCCAGAAGTGGGGCGGCTTGAAGACGGCGCCGCCGCGGCCCGAGAGCGCGCCGCGCGTGCCGGCGCCGAGCGCGCGGCGCAGGCAGCCGACGCTCGCGCACGCGCACGCGGCGCGCTCCGCCTCGGCCGTCGACGTTTCGACGAGCGCGGGCCGCAGCCGGCGGCTCGACGACGCGTAGCTCGCGAGCGCCGCGGCGCACAGCAGGGCGCAGAGGCACGACAGGCCGCGGCGGAACCGCTCCGTGCGCCCCGGGCGCCGCCGCGGCCGCTTGGCCAGCTTCGGCGACTCGGCCTTGGGCGGCGCGGCGCGCAGCGGCGCGAGGCACGCGACCCAGCAGGCGGCAACGGGCGCGCAGGCGCCGCGCGCGGCGCACCAGCCCGCGAGCAGCGCGACGGCGCCGGCGGCCATCCAGGCCATGTCGGCGCCGCCGGGCGCGAAGCAGTCGAAGACCATTGCCTCGATATTGCTCAACTTTAAGCAAAGGGTCAGCGTTGCCGTTCAACATCTGTTCAACGAGCTGCGCAACGAGCAGATACGCAACCCCATTACTCAACGCGGTAACGAGCCCGATAGCCCCGTCGCCTGAGCCGGTCGTTGTTGGCCGGTGCGGCGCGTCGACCATGGCCTACCGCGACGAGGAGTCGATCTACAACCTCGTGCCCATGGAGGCGCCGCCCCGCGTCCGACGTTCCTTCGCCGCCGGCCGCCTCCGCCCGCCGCCCGCGCCGCGCGCCGCCGCCGCCGCCGCGCGCGCACCCCGGGAAAAGAAAAACGGACGACACACCCGCCCCCTCCCCCCGCGCAGTACGTCGAGCCGCCGAAGCCGCGCATGTACCGGAGCAAGCACGACCCGAAGACGCCCGTGACCGGGTCTACGTTCGGGATCCACGGGACGACGCAGCTCCTCGGCGCGGGCGCGATCAAGAAGAAGGACACGGCGACCTTCGGCAAGCCGCTCAACAGCCAGGTCGCCGACCCGGCCGAGTTCCTCCGCGGCGGCCAGAAGGTGCAGCGCGTGCCCGCGCGCGTCGACGTCACGAAGTTCAGCTTCGACAGTGTCGTCGACAAGAAGAGCGCGGTGCCGCGGCGCACGGAGAAGCCCGTCATGGGCCTGAAGACTTCCAAGAACTTCATCACGGCCAACGCCGTCGAGGCCATTTTGCAGGTCCCGACGGTCAAGTACACGGCCGAGCCCGACTACCTGAAGAAGGCGGACTACGCGCAGGTGCCCGCGTACCTCGGCCAGGTCAAGGAGGAGATCCGGCGAGAGAACGAGATGATCGACGCCTACGTCAAGGAGCAGATGGGGCTCAACACGGAGGAGAAGGAGGACCTGTCGGAGCTCCTCGCGGACGACGAGCGGAGCCGGCTCATCTCCGCGCTCAAGCGCAAGTGGGACGCGGTCAACGCCAAGTACCAGAAGATGACGCACAACGTGAATCTGGACACGGTCGGCAAGGTCAAGAGGAAGGAGTCCATGGAGAAGGAGCTCAAGCAGCTCGAGGCCGACATCGGCAAGCTCGAGAAGCCCCAGCCCATCTACATCAAGAACGACTACTAGGCCGCGCGGCGCGCGCCGTTCCACGCACCGCCCGACCTAAGCACCTTACGCCCGAGCCCCTAGGGGTCGCCTTCCATGGCCGCGTCGCCGGCGTCGCCGTCGGAGTCGACGCCGTCCGCGCGGACCGTGCAGAGCAGCTTCTTGCCCACGTCGCCGAGGACCGCGAGCTCGTCCGCGTCCGCGTCGACCGTGACGATCTGCTGGTACATCTGCGCCTGGACGCCCCGGTCCACGTCGAGGACCTCGTCGCCGAGCACGAGCCGGACCTCGCCGGAGCGCATGATCTGGAGCTTGCCGATCTTGCCCGGCCGCAGCGACGACAGCTCGTCGTAGGACCCCTCCGCCGTCGGCGCCTCGTCGCCCTCGCCGGCGTCCTCGGCCTTGACCTTGGCCCGCCGCGGCAGCGAGGCGGGCAAAGACGTCGGCAGCTGGATCACGAGGAGCTCGTCCTCGTCGTCGTCCGCGGCGTCGACGGCGAAGAGCCGCTCGGACCGCGCGCGCTCGCGCTCCTCGCCGAAGGTGCTCGGCTGGGGCGGCGGCGGCGCGCCGGTGTCCTCGAGGCCCGCGACGGCCGTCGGCCGCAGCGGGTCGTCGCCGCCGTCGACGTCCATGGCGTCCTCGTCGTCGCCGCTGCTCCCGTCGAGGAAGTTCGTGTCCTCCTCCCACTTGGCGATCGCCGCGACGCCGCCGGCGACGCCCGACGCCGCGCCGGACGACGCGCCGCCGCCGCCGCCGCCGCCGCCCGCGCCGGACGACCCCTTGCCCGGCGCGGCCGTGGGCTCGAAGAACGCGGCGCCCTGCGGCGCGGGCTCGCCCCGGCCCCGGCCCCGGCCCTCGCCGCGGCCCCGGCCCCGGCCGCGGCCGTCGTTGCGCCGCAGCCGGCCGCCGCCCTTGCCCCGGCCGCCGCCCTCGCTCTCCTGCTTGACGGCGACGGGCGGCGCCACGCGGCTCTGCGGCCGCTTCGGCGCGAAGCGCTTCGACCGCTTCTTCAACGCCGGCGCCGACTCCGCCGGCTGCTGATCCGACATGTTTTCGGCGGTGGTGCTGCCACAGCCCCGGTGCGCCGCGCTGCCACAGCCTCTGGCGCAAGGCGATGGCCCAAGAACTTGCGTTGCAGTAGCTTGCAGCTATGATGCAGCAGGCCAACCTTGATCTTCGGCGAGGCGCAACGACTTCGCTACGTGGCAACTCAAAAACTTCTCTCTCTCTCATTGTTCTGAGTAACTAAGTGAGTAACTGTAAGTCGAAAACCGAAAATTGAAAAATGGCGGCCCGGAAGGACGACGGAGGTACGCCGAGCACGGATTTAGGCGATCGCGGGCTCGGGCGCAAGCGGCGAAGGAGCCGCCTCGGGGCGCGGGGCCCCGGATAGGGTACGCGCGCGGGCGCGCGCGCGCGGCGTTCCCGCCGCGCGGGCGCGGCCGCGGGCCTAGATCCACGAGCTCTTCGTGGAGCTGCCCACGGTGACGAGGTTCTGCTTCGGCATGCAGGACGTCATCATCAGGAGGCATTTCGCGGCGTCGGTCAGCGAGATGTCGTCGACCTTGACGGCCGCGCGGTCGCCGGCGGCGCCGGCCGGCGACTCCGCCGGCGGCGCCGCGGCGCGCGGCGCGCCCGGCGAGGCCGACGCGCCGTCGCCGGGGCCCGCCGGTCGCCGTTTCGCCGCCGGGCCCTCCTCGCCGGCCGGCGCCTCGCGCTTCTTCCGCCGCACGAGCGGGCGGAGGCTGAGGAGGCCCTGGATGTCCGTCGAGGCCGGCGCGCCCGCGACCTTGTGGTAGCAGACGCCGCGCGCCTTGCTCCGGTCGCCCGTGCCGACGCGGTCGTTCGCCGTGTAGGAGCGGTGGTAGCCCTGCGGGGACGCGCGCGCGGATGAAAAGAGGCGGGAACGAGGCGGTCGCGCGCGCGCGTCGCGCGGCGGACGCGGGGCGACTCGCAAAATTGTTGAGCTGCCTCTGGAAGGAGGAGAACTTGGACGTCTTGTAGTAGCGCGGGAGGACCTTCTCGAGGCGCGCCGGGTCCGGGATGACGATCGTGCCGCGGTCCCAGATGATTTCCTCGCTCTCCTCGAACATGCGCGTGAGCTGCCGCATGAACGCCGTCGTCGCCCTGCGATGGACGGTGCGACGTTTGCGGCGCGCGGCGTCCCCGGGAGCGCGCGGCGCGCGCGGCGGTCCGGCGACGCGTCGCCGCGGCCGCGTTCAAGTCGAAGTCGAACGGAGGGCGGCGGACGCCGGCGCCGCGCCGGCCCTTGCCCTCCATGATTCCCGGCGGTCGAGCGTGGACGCGAGGGCGTACCTGCGGCGGACGTCTCGGCGCCGCGTCCGGCCGCGGGCGAGGGGGTCCGGGCGACCGCGATCTTCGCCGCGTTGAATGGGCAGCCCGTGCACGGGCTGCCCGGAACGCGCGAACGCGAGACGCGGGCCGCGGACGGTGCGGCGGCGGAGCGGATGAGCGGAGCGTGCGACCGGCGGAGACGGAGCTTTCGGACGTGAGCTGCGGCGCGCGCACGGAGGTTGTGGTGGTTCTCGCGAACGCCTTGTCGCCGTGTGAATCGCGGTGTGCTCACTGCTCACGGCGAACAAAAGGATTTGTCTGGAACGTGAAGGTAACGTTGGGGGGTTTCTTTTGGACACTGAGCTGCCCAGTTATGCGCATTCCTATGAGTATTATGAGGATTGTCGCCGTCGCCGCCGCCATCGGCAGCGCCGCGACCCCCGGCGCCGCCGGCGCCGCAGCCGTCGAAGGCTCGGAGATGCAGCCCGCGACCCCCGGGGCTCGCCTCCGCGGCGGTCGCGCGCTCGCCTTTGGATTCCACGACGCCGATGACGCGCCGACGGAGTCGCCCCCGCCGACGGGCATGCCGACCGCGACGGGCATGCCGACGGTTCCCGCCGACGGCGCGGCGGACGCGCGCGACTGTCTGTATCGCAACGGGACCTGCGCCGAGTGTTGCGGCGCCTGCGACGACGTGAGCGACTACTACGTCGATGGGTCAGTTCCCGATTTCTCCAACTACATCTACGGGCCCGGCAGCACGTGCGTGTGCCTCGTCGTAGACCGCGACGACGACGTCAACGACGTAGACCGCTCGACGCTCCACATTTCGTTGACGGAGCACGACGACTGCCTCGCCGTCTTCGGGCACAACACGGAAGTCTACGGCGGCGAGGGGTCGGACTCGATCGTCATGAACGGCGGCCACAACACGATCCACGGCGGTTCCGGGAACGACTTCATCTACGACCAGGGCTGGGACTCGATCATCAACGGCGAGGACGGCGACGACACCATCCAGGTGCAGAGCCTCAACGGCGAGGACACGGGCTACCTTACGACGTACGTGTACGGATACGCGGGCGCCGACGACATCGACACCACCGGCGACAACATTTGCATCGAGGGAGGCGACGGCGCGGACGACATCTACGTGCACAGCGGGGTTTCCGTCGACGTCTACGGCGAGGCCGGCGACGACCGCATCGTCGTCGGTGAAGTGGACGGGGAGTCCGACTCTACGGAATTTGTCCATGTCGACGGCGGCACCGGGGACGACGACGTCGTCTACAACTAAGAAGAAGCAGCCGGCGGGATGTGTTATGCGCGCGCGCGTCGGCGGGGGCGCGGCGTCTAGACGTCGAAGTCGCCGCCCCCCGCGTCGTCGGCCGGCGGCGGCGCGGTCGGCGGCGCGGGCGCGGGCGGCGCCGCGGGCGGCGGCGGCGGGTCGTCGCTTCCCTTGGTGGGCGACGTCTGGCCGAGGACGCCGACCTGGCCCGGCGTCTCGAGGCCCGGCTTGCGGAGCTGCGAGAGGAGGTCGTTCGACTTCTTTGGCCTCGCCTGCGCGGCCTTGGCGCTCGCGGCGCGCTGGAGGACGTGGGCCGGCGGCGGGCCCGGCGGCGGCTTGCCGTCCTTGCCCCGGGCGGAGGAGGCGGCCGGCGGCTTGCGCGGCCGGGGCGGGTCCGTCGCCGCGCGCGCGCGGGCCGCGTCGTCGTCGTCGCCGAGGTCGTCGCGCGAGCCCTGCTTCTTCAGGGACCCGGCGGAGCCCGCGGAGGCGGCGGAGCCGGCGTCGCTGGGCCGGCGCTCCTTGTCCTTGTGGCTCGCGCCCTCGATGTCCTTGGCCGCGGCGCCGGGGTCGAAGATGCGGCCGCCGTCGCCGAGCGTCGCCTCGACGCCGCGGTACGCGAGGTTGCGCTTCTCCGGCGGCGTGAGCTGGTTTTTGGCTTCTTTGGCCACGAGGGCCATGAGCTTCTCGCGGATGTTCGCCCGCCAGGCGAGCTTCTGGCCGCCGCCGTCCTGCTCGAACGTGAGGGGCAGGACCGCGTAGACCGCGCGCAATTCCACAATGTCGAGGCCGTTGACGGCCCAGCGCGTGCGGAAGTCGGCGATGTGGGACCGGCGGATGCGCTCCACGGGCATGCGGATGAGCCAGAGCGCCTGCGTCTTCCAGACGCGCTTCGCCAATTTCGCGGCGGCCGCCGCGTGGTCCTCGCCGAGCGCGGCGAGGATCGCCTCGGAGACGGCCGTCGACGACGACGCGCAGATGTCGCCGGGCACGAAGGACCGCATGACGTCGAGGGCCCGCAGATTCTTGTCGCGCTCGTCCTCCTCCCACTTCTTCGCGGCCTCGTCCTTGCGCACGGCCGTCTCCGGGTGGGCCATGATCTGCTTGTGGATCTCGTCGAGGAGCGCCTCCGCGGACTCGTCGCCGCCCAAGAAGCGGTCCGCGGCGGACTGGAGCTCGGCCTCGAGGTCGTCGAGGCCCTTGTCCGGCGCGGCGGACCCGCCGCCGGCCGCCGCGCGGCTCAGCGCCGTGCGCAGCATGGAGATCTCGCTCTCCATCTCGATGAGCTTCGACGGGTCGAGCTTGGCGACCTGGGCCTCGAGGTCCCGGACCTTCTGCTCCGCCTTGGCGACGCGCTCCGCCTCCTTGGCCGCGGCGATGGCCTCGAACTTGGGGATCTCCGCGAGGT